GACAGTTCCACGTGGGAATGTGGGATTGGTTACACCTGGCCACAAACGGGTATAAGAAGGGTGAGTTCTCTCCCTACACGAAGACCGAAGTCCGGGCTGAAGATAGCTAAGACTCTGGACCCAGCCTTCCAGCCCTTCTGAGGGCTAAGGCTCGGCGTATCCAGTGGTCAAGACCCGCCGGGCCAGCGGTGGGTCAGATAGCCTCCCCTAGGTCCCAGCCGGAGGACTCTAGGATAGCGGTGGACGTGTGAGTAAGTCCCGCCAAGATAGGAGGCTGTACCTCCTTAGGGTATCGGGCGAGGGGACCGTGTACCCCTCTGTGTGTTAAGGACTGTGTAAAGAGAAGTATTACAATAAACAGAGTGTGCCTCATAAGAAGTGTATTCGTCATTATAAACAATACAAATGCATCGACGCGCTGGGTTAGCCGGTGGTCTCTGGCAAGCGGCCGTCCATAAATGACGTCACGCGATTTTGGACGATTTTTTTACCCTTCCCCCCTTCGTCACACGGCGTCACAAAAAGTCAGACCCCCCCTCAAATATGACGTCACAAAGCTCTGCCCCCCCCCCCCCAAAAAATATATATAAAACATGCTTCAAATCGCTTTAAACTATTGTCACTGTAGTGCGTGTTTAATGTGGCGCTGCACTCTGATGTTGTAGAAGAAAACATTTATTAAAAAGTCTATTTAATTTTCGATTTAAAGCTTTCGTGACTGCAGGGATTCATCTTCTTGGTTCTTTCGGTAAAGTCACCACGTAGATTGGAAATAAAATAAAATGATTTTATTATTTTATTTCCATTCTACGTGACTTTATTATTTTATTTCCATTCTACGTGCCTTTACCGAAAGAACCAAGAAGAAGTCTATTTAATTAAGTAGAACGTGTTGTCTATATTTATTTAAAGTTGCGCATTTTGATGTGACGTCACATTTCTCAATCCCCCCCCCCCCCTTCGTCACACATCGTCACAAATGTCTGACCCCCACCCCCCAGGTGCGTGACGTCATTTATGGACGGCCCCCAAGGGAATATGGGATTTTTTTTATACCACTGGCTCCAGACTATACCAGTGGAGGTGATGACAGTCTTCTGCTCATTTGACCACAATTATAATTGTATTTTTGACTTTGCACCGATGCACGGTACTTGTAAATGCGCATACAGGGACTCCTCTACTTACGAACGAGTTAGGTTCCAGAGGTATGTTCGTAAGTCGATTTGTTCGAAAGTCCATCTTTAGTCCTTTCGATTCCAAACATGTGTTAATCCAAACATGTTGTACAGCGTGTACACTCAACACGGGGAATGGCTATAAGAGTTGTATACTCTCCTAGAGATGTAGATGCCACTGGTTCTTCACGTTCTGTAGATGTAGATGCCACTCCCGCCATCTATTGCGTGGTGGTTGAACTTACGAATCTCGCTCTGAAGAGGCAACTGGACATACAGACAGGCTTGTTCGAATCTCTGAAAGTTCGTAAGTCGAATGTTCCTTCCCCCTGCACCTCCGGTCAGCACGGTCGGCTACGTACGGCGCGAAAGAAGTTAAACCGTACTAGTGTACACATACACGTTCGTCTCATCACCAGACGTGACAACGAAAGCATCGAGCAGAAGGAAGCGACGGCGACTTGCGGTCACATCGGCGACATTAGCTGTGATGATGACCTCTGCACCATGACGCAGTATCGACTCACAACACAGTAAAAATATCGGACGACGTTTCGGTGCAATGGCCCCTTCTTCATAGCACATTAAAAATATATATATAAAAATATTCGCCACGTGACTATTCATCACCGAATTGTCACAATTCAGCGTCGTGATGAATTAGAAAAGCTTATTTAATTTTCATGACCGTCTCGTTTGTATTGTTGATGGGTTTCTTTTTTTTGCGTCTCGTTTCTGCAGTTTTTGTTCACTCAATTAGCGCACGTGTAACATACGCGTATCGTGTCTATCATTGTATACACGTTGTAAACAACGCTCACCATTTGATGCTGCGCAAATCCGAGAATGCACGAGTCGACCTTAAAGTTGGCGAATCGATGCGTCGTTGCAGGACCAACCAACACGCCAACACCGCTTCGCAAGGAGGGGGGGGCCTTGCTGGGCACAATTCACCAATTGCACGTGCACAGGCGAAGAATATTACGTGCGCATTGTACAAAATCGGGTCCACCAACAGAGATTAAGCATCGCACCATTGTTCGTGTTGAGCAAAGGGACGCATTGACTGTGAAACCACCTTGAGGCTCTTGCGATTTTACACGGCATTGATTACTTTTTTTTTACCGGGATCCCAAACCCATTGTGCGCGCTGCGGATATAACCTCGGTGGGAGCCAGGGGAGAAAGTTGAGGTTGGTGAGGCGATGCACTCTTGCGAACCAGCGCTTTGGATGCAATGCGAGGCGGCCAGGAGGTGACATCGCAAGAAGTGAGTTCATGAAACCATCCGTGCGGACATTTGAGCGTGCATTTTCCGTGGGTGCCCAGGTCCCTAAGGGGCCGTCCATAAATGACGTCACGCACCTAGGTGGGGGGGGGGGGGGGGGTCAGACAGTTGTGACGATGTGTGACGAAGGGGGGGGGGGAGGTTTAAGAAATGTGACGTCACATCAAAATGCGCAACTTTAAATAAATATAGACAACACGTTCTACTTAATTAAATATACTTTTTAATAAATGTTTTCTCCTACAACATCAGAGTGCAGCGCCACATTAAATACGCACTACAATGACAATAGTTTAAAGAGATTTGAAGCATGTTTTATTTTTTGAGGGGGGGGGAGAGCTTTGTGACGTCATATATGAGGGGGGGGGGTCTGACTGTTTTGTGACGCCGTGGGATGAGGTGGTGGGGGGGGGGTCAAAAATCGTCCAAAATCGCGTGACGTCATTTATGGACAGCCCCTAAACCACCCCACCCGAGAATGACATTCCCCAAGCATCCCATTGCAAGACCCTCCTGGAAAAAACAGTCTTGAGACTCAGTGAGGCTTTCGTTGATAAACAAATTACATTATTGGTATTCATAAACGTTTGCATTATTGGCAATGTATATTAAAAAAACCACAGCGTTATGAGTTTGTCTAAACACCAACGGCTGTAAACACGCCACACTTAGCGTCGCCATTTAATTATGCACTATTTGAATTATGCAATAGCCACTTATGGCAAATGATAGTTTAATTTCCCCACTCCCGTATGCACGACATTCATAAGGACACTGCGTTAATGTTTAAAAATGTATGCAATAGCTCACTTTATTATGGGCATTCATCATTTAGCCCAGTTCCTCTGCGGACAGTTCATTTGTCACACCTGCGTGTTCTGCATATAACACGAAGGGTAGCGAAACTTAACTCATTAAACAACGATAACCGATTTTAATTCATGTTCACCAACATTACAGCATCGTCTGCATTGTTCGCCGACGTTCGAGAACTACCTTCCGAGGTTTGAGAATCTCGACGCAGTCCTTATCCTCTACCAGCATTTGTCTGTTGTGCACGTTGAACTTCTTTCGCACCGTACGCAGCCAACCGTGCTAATCGGAGGTGCGGGGGGAAAGGCAACGAACTAAACACAATAAGCAAATAAATGCGGAGACAGCGGTGGCCGTTGGATCGGTCGGATGTTGTTTGTGAGATTCGCTTCGCGTGGGCGTCCATCAGGTCGTCGTGCCCCTGGCAATGGGACCAATATCCATCGGTCTCCATCTGTACGGGGACAGGGCGTTGCCCCCCCCCCCCTCGCGCGAGGCGTGTTTTTTTTTCTCTTTCGCTCTGGGTGCTCAGCATTCCTCCCACGTGGGTTTTAATGAACGCAACTCACCATTAATTGACTGACAACATCTTCAGATACAAATCCAATGCAGGACGCTCGTACTGTTTGAGGCATAAGCAATTAGAAAACGACACTTGCTACCCCATGAAACAAAAAAATACGTATTTTTTTTGTTACACAGTGATATCGTCTCGCTGATAAAAGAGGAGTCGTTCAAATCTCGCGGATAACAGGATCGCGGATTATCGGAGTTCTCCATCCCCCCCACCACTCCCCCTACCAAAGACAAAGATCCCCCGTATAGCCTGCAACAGACTGTTGGGGCAAGTGCTGTTAGCGAGTAGCACCTATGAAGGCCGGCACGGCACACGGAGGGGGTGGGTGGCCAGCACCACGCCCGGCCGCCTTTGTCTCTCACCTGTGGCGATGTTTTTTACGTGCACCCACCAGGCTGAGTCGACCTAGGGGAGACCCCCAGGACCGGTTCAGATAAAATCGTCACTCGGTTAAATTTTGATTTAAAGCGTTCGTGACTGCATGGATTCATCTTCTTGGTTCTTTCGGTAAAGTCACGTAGAAGAGAAATAATAAAATAATAAAAATAAAACATAATAAAATAAAATTATCACGACGTTTCGGCCACAACACAAGCAGCCGAAACGTCGTGATAATTTTATTTTATTACTATTTTATTTTTATTATTTTATTAATTCCCTTCTACGTGACTTTTTTTTTCAAAATTTCTTGCTGTGGTTTTCACACCTGATGATGATTGCTTGTGTTGCAGTCGACATGTCGTGGGAATTTTGTTTTTTATTTTTATTATTTTATTGTTTCCCTTCTACGTGACTTTACCGAAAGAACCAAGAATATGGATCCCTGCAGTCAGGAAAGTTTTAAATAAAAAATTTAAATCAAAATTTTTACCGAAAGAACCAAGATCATCGTCACTCGGTGTTGGCCGTGAGCGGGCAATCGACCCTCCCTGAACCCCTCCCTGAACCCCCCCTGAACCCCCCCTGAACCCCCCCCTGAACCCCCCCTCTGAACCCCCCTGAACCCCCCCCCAATCCCTCCCCTGAACCCCCTCCTGAACCCCTCCCCCTGAACCCCCTCCTGAACCCCCCCCCTAAACCCCCCCTCCCAATCCCTCCCCACCACCCCCACCCGGCGTGACGTCACGCCCCGTGCTAACCAATGGGCGCGGGGCCGGGACTTGCGAGCAGCAGCAACAATGGCTGCGCCGGGCTCGGGCTCGCCGCTGCTGCTGCTGCAGCCGCTCAGCGTCTTCCTCGGGCTGCCCGTGGACCAGGTGAGAGAGGCGGCCGCCCTCCTCGTCCTCCTCGTCTTCGTCGTCGTCGTCGTCTTCGTCGCGGGTTGCCCGGGGACCCCCCCACCCCCCACTATCTCCCTAGCGACCTTTTCAGGCGCGCCGCGCTGCTCTCTGTGTGTGTTGCTGCTGCGCGGTGCGAGACGCGAACTGCGTGGCTGTGATGAGCAGTCGGGAGGACACTTGAATGGTGATGATGAGGTGATGGTGATGATGATGAGGTGATGATGATGATGAGGTGATGCTGCTGCTGCAACGTTTTGACGGTGAAGGTGGGCCAACCATCCCTCCCCCCCCAACACGGTGCGTTGACTTCAGAGTCGAAATTTCCCTTTCGCTCGCCGTGTCAACATCAACGCAGGTGGTGTTGGCTTTGTAGCGGAGTGTGCCACTTGCTGTGGTGTCATGGTAAACCCCGCTCGGCCACTCGCTGATGCCGACCCCGCTGCAGCCGCTGCTGGTTTGGTGAGGGGTGGTGACACGGTGTGCGAGGGAGGGAGACTCTAGGATCTTGAGATATTCGCCACGGGATGAAGGCCATGTCGGTTGTTGCGGGTGTAGTTTGACCGTCCGTACTCCACCACGATGCTGGCTCGACGGCCTTCGGAGAATGAAGGGAGAGCCCCAGGGATCGGTCCAGGTAATAAAAACTCCTCCTCGCCGATGTTGACCGTGGGCCCTGGGGGTCCAAACTCGTGGCCGCCGTAGGCTGCTCGTGATGCACTCCGAGGCGGAGGAGGATGAGGGCGCACACCGCTGGCGACGCCACGTCTGGCCGTGCGATCAATAATTATTGAAGGGGGGCAATCCCCCCCCGTGCGGGTGTTGTAGCAGAACAACAACTCCGATAATAGCGATAAGAGCAGAGGACGCCGACGCTGCTGCTCCACGTCCACAGCGCCGTGAGACGGTGGAGATGGCAGCAGGTCTGTTGTTGTGCCGTAGTGCAGGCGGCGGGGGTATGAAGGTGTCACTGTGCCCACACAGCGGAGCGAGCGAGCACACATGTCCAACCCATGCGGTATTCTTATGCGGGGGGGGGGCAATGTTGAGTTTGCAGGGTCCACACCCCCCCCCCCCCATACGGCGTATAGGCGTTTCAATACGGGCAAAAAAAAAATGTCGCGAAACGTTGAGATTTATAGTGGCACGGGGGTTACCAATAATGTTCTGAATTGGTGTGTAATCAGGTAGGAGGCACTCGGAAGGCGTAGACGGGTGTGTTGTGAGTGGCCAATTAACACTTTGCTCGGTAATATATGTAGCCATCGCCTTCACAATTCGGCATTTTAATCACCTGTTGAGGATAAAGTCGGGAGGGCCATAAACCAGTCGTGGCATCTATATATGGATCAGGTCCATTGTATACGGTACGGGGTGATCCATTTACACGTACCCCATTTGATCTAATGGCCCTGCATAGGCGGGTGGGGGAGGCCCCCTATCCATCGGTTATATTTTACACTTGTGCGAACATAGGTTTTAACTTGTATCCTTTACGGATGAAGGACCTCCAAATCACCATGGGTTGTTTGACCATACTTCACCACGTTTAGGTCGGTTACGGATTGCTGAAGGTGCCACGCACGAGGACTGGCCCATTTGATCTGTCACTGTCGACTGATGGGAATCGAACTCAGGTGAACCGGGGTTTAAAACAAGGTGCGCAAACCGTGGCCTCACCGCTCCCACAATGCAGATTGCCTGAACGTCCAGAAGCGACACGAAGCAGCATTATTAATTAATTTATTTCCTTGACCCTTTCCGAATTGCCCACAATTCTAGCTTACCGGAGTCCGGCTTCGTGAGGTTTTACTTTATTCGCATCAAATTACAAGACAAACGACATTGACAATACGCCTTACATTAAAGAGTAATTAATAATATTGATTGCCCTACGTATGTTGCACTTGGTTGTTTTTTGGGGCTGATTTTTGGGCCGCTGTTGTTGAATGCCCCAAATGTCAGTAGTACCTAACGTAATGGCTCCAGTGAAAGTAGGATGTATACACCCGAATCTTTCTTCAGGGTGGTCCATATGTCTTGTGACCTCCAATGAATTGACCCCGAACATGTTATTGCCCCTTTGAATATTCATAACTATTTTGAATTAAACCTTTTTTTTTACAAAAAAAATCTTTGTAAAGTTTTAGAAAAATAAATGGGGGTCACAAGGCATCTTGGCTCATGACTTAAGTCAGTGGTGGATATGTGCCGGCATACGCCAGTCAGCCATACTGGCACTTATCACAACACGTGCTGTAAGTATACTGGCACTGAAAATTGCCAGTGTACTTACGATTCCGATTCTACGACGTTTCTGCAGAGAGGGGGTTGGGGGAAACAAGGCGAGCAGGACAAATAGGTGTCACGCGGGCAACTTCTGAATTTACATTTGACCACTGAATACACGTTTGTGTGTGTGTATATAACGTTCAGCTAGCACGTGCCCCCGGATCCCAGTGGGATAAACCCGCTCGTGGCACATACAGCAATCGTGGGTTAGAGTCCGTCTTATATAAATGTGTCGTTAAACCCGCCACCACCCGACACAGCCAATTAGTAAGGTTTGTCACGAACACAGAACATGCCAATTCGTTACTAGTACAGCACACCGGTGTGTTGGAGAGTAAATCGACAACATTTACAATTTGAGCTACATTATAAGTACGCAGACGTCGTGTTTCTGCCGTGCACAAAACAAACCACGTCAACTGCGCGACACTGTATTTCGTCCACACCATGCAGTGGATTGTGAACAGGGGAGTAGTGCGTCGGTGAGGTTTGTGTGAATAGGTGACCCACATTACAGCACACACCTTTTCTTTACCAGCTGGCAAGAGCAAGCGGGGTTAATGGGCGCGTGAAAGAAGCCCCTATTTTCCTCCCTGGGCGTGTCCGCCCACTGGGCTCGCAAGCCATTAAGGCAAAAAGCGAAATGCAAGCAGCTACTTGCGCTGATCATTTCGTAGAGGAAGCCGTTTAAAGGAGCTTGTGTACTGAACATGTAGCCCCTTTGTGTCAATCCACTGCTGGATGAGGGCCTGTCCACCCCACGCCCTCCTCACCCCCCCCCAAACGTGTGGATTTATCCGTGGGGTTTATTGGGTGAACTCGGCGGGGGTGGGAGCACAGATGATGTGGGGAACGTATAACGCCTGACGATAGCAGCGATAGAGACTGCTGCCGTGAAACTGCTGCCCACAACTTATTAATGCCCTGCCACTTTACAGCTGTTGGGCGTTTGTTGTCAGTGCAAGCGCTGTCCAGGCTCAAAGCCTGCCTAGCTTGCGCGTTATGACGACGAGATCGGGCACTGTCCAGGTGACTTGGTCATAGACGCTTAATTCAAGGGGTTAAGCAACGCAATAAAATAAGCGCCGCGTGTCTTGTAGATGTGCACCTTGGCTGTGTCCTGGGATGCTTGGCCCAAGCTGAGCAAGCCTTTCAAGTAACTTTTATTTTGCACGTAATTATGGCTCCTTCGTGGCGTCATTGCATCAGCATATTGGATTGTACCACGGGTGATCTCGCACTCCAATGAGGTGCCATCTCATCGCATCTCCGAATGCTAAGCGAGTGCTGAGACTGGTATAAGGCTTCTTCTGTAAGATAGCCAGGACATGGGAGTGTAGCGATGGGTTCTTGAATCGATCTTGTGATAAACTTTTGAGTGTCACCCCCTTTGTATTCGTGGGTTTTCTTCAGGCACTTATTTATTCCCATACACACGTACACTTTCATCTCATGAAGTTGCCCTTAAATTGGAGCTGTTTAACCCAATGGGCTTCACTGGGGAAACTCACTTATGTTGCATCGAATTGACCAAACTTCCCAATGCAGGACCCTCCTGCAAACGAATCTTGAGACTCATTGAATCTTTCCTGCACGAATCTTTCCTGCACGAATCTTTCCTGCACGGTGACATAATTCGAGCCCTTCTCTACGGTATTTAATGCAGTTTTGTACTCGTGTCTGACAGTCCCCAGGGCACACGGATACGTACAGGATAAGAACTGCTTATTGTGTAGCTCATATCTTCTAATCAAGACATGGGGGAGAGACAGTGAACAGAGGGTTTTGGCTACAGTTGGTTTTGGGAAACACTCCCTGCTCTTTGTTGAGTTGGGGGGGCGAGCGGTGGTGGCTACGTCCAGTGTCAGTGTCGCGTGTAATTGTTTATGCCGTTGAGCGATTGTCCAATTGATACGAGGCAGCGCGTGATCGCAAAAGCATGCAGTACATTGCATGTGCCTGTTTGATGGAAAAATATACGAGCTGTTTGCGTTCTAAAAATAAATGCATCTGCCAAAATGTACAACCCCCATTAGTCGTTGAGCGTTACGTAGGTGTGTGGAATTACGATAAACGCTTATGCAACGCGCGCTCTCAATGGAAGCAAACGTTTTGAAACGCGAATGCGGTATTATAGAAGAGGTTTTAACGTAAATATTGCGCAATATTCAACGCGTCTTCAAAGCAGACGCGTTGGGAAAGCCAAACAGTTGTGAAAGGGTGGCCGCTTGTTCCAGTTGGAAGGCAGAACGACACCACCTCGCCAAGGGCACGGCAGGAGGAGGGACGCGCACGCGCCTTGGTGCCGACGAGATGTTTCTTCCCTCGCCTGGTACGCAGGAGGTCGTGGATTCCATCTGGGGGACTCTGTCGTTGTATATTTGGAGTTTGCATCGAGCACATGGTTGAGAAGTTATGTTTTTCTGTGTGTGTGTGTTCAATGCATTGGGTTGACACCACCCCCACTTACTCGAGGCGCTACCATTAAATATATATATAATATATATATTTTTACTCGAACCGTCATCCAGAATCGTAGCAGTTCCTCGGGTTGCCACCTATACTATATAACAAGCTGTATATTTACATACGCTTTTTAGGTTTTTGTATATGTGTGCATATATACAAGACAAAGGCAAATATCCCCCGTATAGCCTTAACAGACTGTTGGGGCAAGTGCTGTTAGC